TCCTGGGCGGGGCGGGGCGGGGCGGTGATTGAAGCGTGTGTAATTATCCGCCGGCCAGTGGAGATGGCCGTCTGGTTCGTCCGTTGGAGCCTAGCCGGGACGGGCTGGGCTCCACAAGACGGACTAGGCCACGCCGCCGACCGCGCCGCGCGCCGCGCCCCGCCTCGGCGTTCGGCGCCAAGGTCACCCCGCCGGCCCGTTGGTCCGTTGGCCCGCAGTGGCGCAGTGCGGCAGTCCTGCGAGCGTCGCGCTGCTGGGTTGCCTACCTGCTCGTGCTACTCATTCCGAGGGTCGTTTTCGTCGTCGCCCTGTCTCTCTCGCGCACCGGGGCGTCCCCTATGGGTGCGAGAGAGGCAGCGCGATGAAGACGACTCTCGGAATGAGTCTGCAGCCCGTGGATGCCCCGGCCGGCTGGGGCAGAGCCGGGCCGGGTTAGGCTAGGCTTGATTGTTTCTGCGCTGATGGGGCTAGGACAGGGTGGGCCAGCCATGCATGGCAAATGAGGTAGAGATACTGCCCGGCGAGAGAGACAGAGTACACCGCCAGCAAGCAGCGCAGACTGATGCCACACTGGTGGTTTCCCCGCAGGGAGTGCCAGAGAGGCAGAGCTTTTCGGAAGAGGGAGAGAGACAGAGGGATCGGCCTTCGGCTGCAATAAGACGGCGAGGATGGCGCCGCAATTCGCGCTCTTCTTCGTGCGCCAGCGGGCCGAGGGCGCCGAGGGCGAGGAACGCCTCGAGGCGTAAGTACAGAGCACCTCTGCGAGCTCGTCAGGCCTCTCTGGACTCTCCGGCTCTCTAGTCTGCAGACCGATTCCGAGAGGCGTTTTCGTACCTCTGTCTCTCTCGCACTCACGGGCCGCTCCCATTGGTGCGAGGGAGGCAGAGCGACGAAGACGACTCTCGGATCAGTCTGCTGCGGCGGTCCTGTGCGACTCTGCGCCCCCTCGGCCCCTCTCGGCCTCGGCGGCCTCGGCGTCGCATCTCCGCAGAGGGTCGTTGGTTACGAGAGACGCTCGGCTGACTCCGATATTTGAACTCGCGGCTGTCATGAAAGCGCAAATTTGCTCTCGGACACTCACTCCTCGTTAGTGCAAGCCAGTGGCGGCGGCTGCAGTGGTGGTGGTGGGAAGGGGGAGGGGGTACTGTAGTGCAGCCCTGTGCTCTTGATGAGCTGCCCCCCGTCGCCCCCTAACGATGCCACGCCGTCTTCGTGATATGAACCAACCCACCGTCCGGGCCATCCTACCCCATGGGCCAGGCCTCCGACAACCGTGAGCCACTCCACCCACGCTCACTCCACCTCGAAATGCCCCTACATCCCCTTGGGCTCACACCACCTCAACATGCCACTACACCCCAACGGGATACACGGCCACACCACCCCAGTAGGCCAAACTCCACCCCTATGGGCAACTCCACCGCGAGTGCCGCCCCTCCTCCTCTCGCCCCTCCTGTGGCCCTTGGCGCCGGCGCCCGACCGCCCCGACCGCCCCCCGGCGTGCACACAGTGTGCCACACACCCCCTCCTCCAGAGCCCTGGGCGTCGTGTTTACCCGTCGCCAAAGTCACTGCCGCCTCGTAAACCGCCTATTTAGTCGCGGCGCCGGACTGCCGCCGGACTGCCGACCTGGCGTAGATAGAAAGACACCAGAATGGCGGCTTGTCTCTCTACAGGCATAAGCTACCGACCGGTGCGTCTCGGCGCGACGCGCACGCTCGGCGCACGCGTCCGCCGATTGGCGTCGCTTCCGGTGGCGGCCCCGCCCCGCCCCGCCGACTCGGGGTGTTAATGCTCGCCGGTCCGCGTGACCGGCTGCTTTTGCTACACTGCGTCGAGAAGAAACGCGCGCCGCGAGTGTACACGCCAGGGTGCGTTCCCGCTCTGAAATTCGGAATGATTCCTAGGAGGCAATTGAAAGGGACAAGGAAGCGCTTCGACGAGATCTCTGTCGGCTTGATAAGGAGGCTCAGCCGACTGAGTCGTCGCCCTGCCTCTCTCGAGCCTACAGGGAAGGCCCCGTGAGTGCGAGAGAGACAGAGCGACGAAAACGACTCTCGGTATCAGTCTGCAGGGCTCAGCCAGTGTCTCGGTGGTCGGCGAGACGGGACGAGGCAGCGCGCCAAGATAGTGGCACTCCATTGATTCATCGAGAGATGCCGGCCGCGCCGCCTCGCCGCTCGGGCGGCCCTTTTACTACCATTAGTGGCGAGCATGCTTGACCTTACGCGCCGCGCGCCTCCGACAGCACACTGGCGCCGAGTGGGTGGTCTATCTCTATCTCTCTCGCTCTCACGGGGCGCTTTCGTGGGGGTGCGAGAGAGACGGGGGCAGTGGAGAGGCGCCGCCGTCGCTAATGTGATTGCCAGCAAATGGGCGCCGAAAAAGGACTCCGCACGGCACGCTGCACTGGCAGCACACTGCAAGGACCAGCAGCATGTGACCTTGTGACACACAGGTCGTACACATCTTGTCACTGTGTCTGTGCTCTAGACCAGCGGTTCTCAACCTTTCTCGGCTCGCGACCCCAAATTTGAAGCCAAAAATTTCCGCGACCCCCAGGAAAAATTTCGCGACCCCACGGGACCCCTCCTTTAACATGCCACGGCGTCTCATCCGAGGCGGGCATTTTGCTCCCTCAACGGGCAACTGGTCTTTGGACCTTCCTTTAGCATGCCTTTGTTACGGAGTGCAATTATCAGTCTTAGTTTGGGAGCAGTATTGTCTCAAAGTTGGCCAAAACGCTCAGAAATGTCTATGAAAAATCGTGTTTTGGACTGATTTTAAGCAGCCACAGCGTCTGATCCGAGGCGGGCATTTTGCTCCCTCAACGGGCAGTTGGTCTTTGGACCTTCCTTTAGCATGCCTCTGTTACGGAGTGCGATTATCAGTCTAAGTTTGGGAGCAGTATTGTCCCAAAGTTGGCCGAAACGGTCAGCAGTGTCTTTGAAAAATCGTGTTTTGGGCCGATTTTAAGCAGCCACTGCGTCTGATCCGAGGCGGGCATTTTGCTCCCTCAACGGGCAGTTGGTCTTTGGACCTTCCTTTAGCATGCCTTTGTTACGGAGTGCAATTATCAGTCTTAGTTTGGGAGCAGTATTGTCTCAAAGTTGGCCGAAACGCTCAGAAATGTCTATGAAAATCGTGTTTTGGGCCGATTTTAAGCAGCCACAGCGTCTGATCCGAGGCGGGCATTTTGCTCCCTCAACGGGCAATTGGTCTTTGGACCTTCCTTTAGCATGCCTTTGTTACGGAGTGCAATTATCAGTCTTAGTTTGGGAGCAGTATTGTCTCAAAGTTGACCAAAATAGTCACAACGGTTTTTCAAAGACACTTGCGACCGTTTTGATCGACTTTGAGACAATACTGCTCCCAAACTAAGACTGATAATCGCACTCCGTAACAAAGGCATGCTAAAGGAAGGTCCAAAGACCAATTGCCCGTTGAGGGAGCAAAATGCCCGCCTCGGATCAGACGCTGTGGCTGCTTAAAATCGGCCCAAAACACGATTTTTCATAGACATTTCTGAGCGTTTCGGCCAACTTTGAGACAATACTGCTCCCAAACTAAGACTGATAATTGCACTCCGTAACAAAGGCATGCTAAAGGAAGGTCCAAAGACCGATTGCCCGTTGAGGGAGCAAAATGCCCGCCTCGGATCAGACGCAGTGGCTGCTTAAAATCGGCCTAAAACACGACCCCAGCATCGCCGCGACCCCTTAAAAAAATTTCGCTAAGGTTGAGAACCACTGCTCTAGACACTCTTTGCAGACGACGGCGCTCGGTAGCGCGCGAAAATGTATGGCTGTCCAGTCTTGGCAGTGTGGAGAGATGAGACAGGTGATCTGCGGTCGGGCAGAGGTACATCGAACCGCACTCACCCTGTGTCTGATTTCCACCCCACCACGTCCGTCATGATGAAGCCGTGGCACCGCGCTGCTCCGGCGCGTGGCCGCGTGGCTGGAGTCTGGCTCGGACTCGCTTGGACTAAACCTTGCGGAGGGGAGGGGAGGGGAGGGGGCGGAATCGATATCAAAATAACCCGCTGAGGAAACTGAGCAGCGGCGATGCGGAAACCGTGGTTTCGCGCAGCAGGTTCGCAGTGCATGCTGCCCGATAGCTGCAGACGCGCGTTTGTCGGTAGAGGGGACGCGCTTTTCGGGTCCGTTCGAGCGTTGCCCGGCGTTCCCAGTTTGTCCCTACTTCCGGTGCCCGTTTTGCCGGCAGGACAGCCCCTTATTTTTCCTTCGACGGACCACTTATCCCTCCCCCACCCCCCTTATTCGGTAATTGTCCGCTGCACCGCGCTGCTCGCGTGATTCACTGCGGTGCCCCCACTTCGACACATCGACCGCAGCGATCGACCACGTTGAGCAGGTCGCGGCGCCCGGTCGCTCGGTGCGGTGCACCACCGCCGCCATGGGGGCTGCACCACCTCCGTGGGGGTTGCGCCCCGCCGTCCGGCATAGCGCCGTCGCCTACGGGGTCGCACCGCCAGCCCGGGGGTTGCGGCGTCGCCGTGGGGGTTGCACAACCGCCGCGCTGGTTGCACAACCGCCGTGGGGGTTGCACAACCACCATGGACTGCACGAAGGCGTGACGTTCCCTCCCCTTCCCCCAGACGGGCACGCACTTTGGCATTTGCGCCCCTCCGCGTTTTGCGGCATTGGGTTCCGGCGCCAGCGCGCCGGGCAGACGGCCTCGGCGGCCTCGCTGGCGGTGCGCGGCGCCCCGACGGCTTGGGGCCCTTCCGGGGAGGCCCGGCCGCCTCGGTGAGGGGTGGGAGAGGGGCCGGGCTCGGGGCGGGCGTGCAGCCGCGCTGCCGCGTCTGCGTTCTCCTGCTTCTCCAGACGACTTGGGGTGGCGGGCTGGAGCTGGAGGCCGCTGGAGGCTGATTTCGGTATGGCCGGACCTGGCCACCTTCCTCACCCTTGACGGGTCGTGAAGGAGACTTAGTCGGCCTAGGACCCTTGGTTTGACCCCTGTGTTTGGTGCTGCAGGTGGCGTGGCAGCATCTACAAGCTGGTATGGCCGGACCTGGCCACCTTCCTCTTCCTGTACTACACGCTCAACTTGACGTACCGCCTCGCCCTCGACAAGGAGCAAAAGATGTGAGTGAAACGTGTTTGATTAGTGAAAAAAGTATAAGTGAGTTGGGTAAAGAACTGAAGCTAGTAGATAAACGAGAATTCTTGGAACGAAAACTAAACTTTTTTCTAATGGTGTTTTGTTCCTTCTGTCTTTCCAGAGTGTTCGAGGCCGTGGTCAAGTACTGCGAGGCGTACAGCGACCTGATCCCGCTGTCCTTCGTCCTGGGCTTCTACATCTCCATCATCATGCAGCGCTGGTGGGACCAGTACACCAGCATCCCGTGGCCCGACCCCATCGCCGTCTTCGTCAGCGCGCACGTCCACGGCCAGGTACCCAGTCGACACTTGCTTTTTGGCCGCCTCCACCGGTCTGCCGGCCCACTGTGCGACGGTGCTATCCCCTCCTCCCGGTTGCAGGACGAGCGTGGTCGCCTGATGCGGCGCACCATCATGCGGTACGTGTGCCTGTGCCTCACCATGGTGTTCTCCATGGTGTCGCCGCGCGTCAAGATGCGCTTCCCGACGCTGGACCACTTCGTGGAGGCCGGCCTGCTGCTGGAGAACGAGAAGGTCATCATCCGCGACCTGGACGACAAGTTTCCGCGCCACTCGAAGCACTGGCTGCCCATCGTGTGGGCGGCGTCCATCGTGACGCGCGCGCGGCGCGAGGGCCGCATCCGGGACGACTACGCCTCCAAGACCATCATCGACGAGCTCAACAAGTTCCGCGGCCAGTGCGGCATGCTGCTCAACTACGACTCCATCAGCGTGCCGCTCGTGTACACGCAGGTAAGGCGCGCGTTTCCCGATTCGTATCGCTACTGCTTCATTTTGAAACTCCCCGGTCGCAAGCGCCTTACGAACTCGGGGTAGGCAATCTGCTGCACGCCTGTGCAACGAATGGCCTACCCTGCAGGGGCCCCGACCCACATACTATTCTTTTTTTTCTTCTTTTTGCCCATTGTTTATGGGAATTTTCTGCAAGTGCATAATCCCTCCGTCCCCAGGTTGTGACGCTGGCCGTCTACTCGTACTTCATCACGTCTGTCATCGCCCGTCAGTGGCTGGAGGTACATCCCGATGCCACTGACTCCACCATGAAGCATCGTAGCAAGATCGATTTGTATTTCCCTTTCTTTTTAACACTTCAGGTAAGAAACTTCATTTAAGTTAATTTTGCCATACTGTTTTTAATTTATTTTTTTGAGCTGGATTATAAACTTTTTTTTTTAGTTTTTCTTTTACATGGGATGGCTTAAAGTGGCAGAGAGTTTGATCAACCCCTTTGGTGAAGATGATGATGACTTTGAAGTAAACTGGATTGTAGACCGCAATGTGCAGGTATTTTCTCACTCTGGATTTGTGTTGCTGAAAACATTTGCCATTATGCTTGACAAGTGTTTTACCTTCTTTCCTCTGAAAGGTTTCTTACCTTATTGTTGATGAAATGCATCATGAACACCCTGAGCTGATCAAAGACCAGTACTGGGATGAGGTGCTGCCAGCTGAATTGCCATATACTGTTGCAAGTGAACCATTTAGAGAAGAACACCCTCAGGCTTCCACAGCAAATATGGACATTCCAGCAGCTGGCACAACTCTCTCGTTCAATTCCACAATGAAATTAGACGAGTTGGCCATGGGTGATCATATGGTGAGCTTGAGTTTTTAATTGCAAATGAATTAGGTTTAAATGAGACTCTCTTTGTCACTAATTTTCTATCTATTACAGGTTCAAGATGATGCAGCTAGTGGCATACACTTCTTGGCTAAAAGCGCTGGAAGCCGTCCTCAGTCCCACTATTATGATAGAACACTGTCAACGTCCTCTAATACATCAATCAACACCAATATGGGAATGGGTTCTGTGGCAGGATCTCTGCATCGTGTAGCCTCTGTAACGTCAGTACTTAAAAGACTATTTTCTAGAGAGCCGCCCCAACCACCACCTGCCATTCCTATGGCCTCAGTTGAAGGTAATGTTCTGACTTTCAGAATTATTTTCATCAACCGATTTAATAAAGTACCTAATTTTGATCTGATATTTTCTTTTCCAAACAGCCGGTAACACTCTTATCATAAGCAATACCGGTGGTCACAGTGCAGGAGTACCTGATGCCAGCAGCTTCAAAAGATCGACTAGCGGCAGCTCTATCAATGTTATCCCCAAGGTAGAGATACACTGTTGTGACAGGGACTATGCATTGAAGTCAATTTTTATATCGCATATTGCGTTTGAGAATATGAATTTTCACTTGTACATTTCAGGCTGCTGGTGGTTCAGTACGTCTCACAGATCAAGTCATTGAAGAGGTTGATGAGCAAACAACAATAACTTCGATGCGGCGCCCCGAGCCGCGGCCCAATGTCAGAGATATTTTCGCCAAGGGAGAAGATTTGAGCAAAGATCTAGATACTGTAGATGCCAGTGAAGCTCTTCTAGGTGCCCCTCCTCCGTCTGCTCCTGTAAATGTGCCCCGTTCTACCCTTGGAGCTCATATGCAAAATTCACAACACACTGCCTTGTCTAGCTCGGCTCCTTTACATGGAGGTCACCTTTCTGTGGCATCACAGTCTAGATTTAGTGATAACTTCCCTGAGGTAAGCATAGTATTATTCATTCAAATTAAGGTATCTTTAACAATGTGTGTACTTTTGCTCCAAAACTCTTTCTCTTTCAAAATTTTAGGTGCTATCTGTCCAAAGCGCTCCTGGTTTCTCGCCACCACAAAGTCATATGGGTAGCAGGGGCAGCCTTGCTGCCGCTCCTATTGTTGATGCTGAGGAAACCATAAGCATTGGTGCGACAAGTTCTGAAAGTGGAGATGACAATGACATGGATGAATTTACTAGACTTAAACGAGCTAGACAGAGGGAGCAAAGGCAGCGTCAGCTTGCACGATCCATCAGCCAACAGCAAGCAGCAATCGCTGCTGTAAGTGCACATCGTCGCAGAGAATCAGGAGCAGAATCCATAATCAGTGACAATGAAAATCTTCTAATGGATCTGACTGATAGTTCTAGAGCGGGTCTTTTACCATCGTCACCACTCCATCCAAACTGAGTGAATGTCAAGGGGGACAACATTTTACAAGGGAGTGTTTCTATACACCGATCAGTTTTGCCACATCTACTTGAGTAAGATTAAGTGTTTGATAACTGGCTGTAAAAATGTGTCAAATTGATGCTTTCTCTTGTAAGTTTTGATCTTACAAATGTGGCACCCAATTGAGTATATGTTGAACACTTACCATGGCACTAATCAATGTTCTCATTCTAGTCTTAGTCATTAAGAAAAATGCAGACTATGTTTTTTAAACAAGTGGTTCATTGTATTCTTAATCATGTTCAATTAAAAAGGCCATTGTTTGAGGTAAGCAATTGAATTTGTACTAGTATATGACAAAATTCAACTCATGTTGAAAATCTTTACCAGTTGATAATATTTTATAAAAAATTGATACTTGTAATTTATTTATTTTAATTTAAAAATTGAAAAGTACACAACTAGTGTGTATTCTGTCATTGTCATTCAAATCACATCTGGAAAGTTCGTGTACATTTTTCTCCCTTCGTGCGTTTGTTTCTTATTTTTAGATAGTTTTAATACTCTGCATTACCTTGCTGTAATTTGTTCTTAACATTCACTGGTGCTCCACACCATAGGACACAGCAACATAAATGTTGCATAGTTGTATAAAATGACAATAAGTTACCAATTTACAACTTTTTTTTTGTTTAAGTTTTGCAATTTTTCCAGAACTACAGAAAAAAAATCTTGTTTCTTTATAGCTTTAATTTTGAGAGTTTTTACTGCCAACTTTACTCACTGTGCAGCCTCAACACATGTCAATTTTCGAATGTTGATGTAAGGTAATGCGATGAAGCCATTCCAGAATCGACTCTGTACTTGTTATACTGTATGTATTGCTATGAAAATTTGTTCACAAATGTGCTGTGATAGAAACTAATATTATAGTATTATATTTAGCACTTAATTTCGGAGAAAGTCCTTCCTGTTGGAAGGTAACATTTCCTGAATGTGCCTAGGCTTATGGAATGTGCAATTGATCTACATGGGACCAATCTGTCCACATAAAATTTAGGTCCTTGAGTATTATTAAAATTTTAGCTTTGTTTTTTGAGAAAATGGATTGCGAACATGATCTTCGTTTATTGAAATGTTAGTTTTGTAAATATGCCAGGCTTTTATTAAATAAAATCTCATCGAAATGTAGATTGCATTTCTCCTTCTTTCCCTAAGCTATCAAGTTGAAAAATTCCAACCATGAGAAACAAGTATAAGTAGTGTACCCAGATTCACTTTCCATCATGAGGAAGATTGGCTTAAAACAAACCAAATACAGGGGTAGAGAACTTTTGTGCCTTTCTACCAGCACTTCAAAATGATTGGACGTTGGCGCTGCTTTGCCCTGCGGATAGTGCAGATGGTACCAGCCTGCGACTGCGAATAGCTAGTTGCAGACAACAGCCCCCATAACAGCGAACAGCGGCATGACTTTTTGAGTCTCTCTGTATCGAAACTATTGAACTTAAAAGATGTCATCGGGTATTGCGATATTTCGCGCTCTTCGAAACTTTGCTGTCAGCAATACTCTGAAATATCCTTCAAGTCGAGTTATCGCTGGCGTCAATCAGGTGTGTCTTGTCGTGGAGGTTAGGTCACACAGGGTTGTTCTGATTATTGTATTTTGATAAATTCTAGATCTAGTTATTGCTTAAAATTTTTCTCTCTTTTTCATTGGTTTGACAGTTTTTTTAAATTTTGTAGGTTCCTGGTCGATTTTGCTCTGGGGAAGCACAGAAGGCTGGAGGGGATGAGGTTGATCCGAAAGACAGAAGTGTGAAAATACTTGTTGAAACTAGCATCCGGTACATGCAGAGCAAAGGTACTTATTAAAAATTGCTATGTTATGTTTTCTACTCGATCGGGAAACTGTCATCGTTCCACTATTGACATTTGCACTAAATTTGGTGCTTCCTCTTTCGCAGAGTACGCTGCCACTTACGGTGACGAACCTGTCTGGGTACCATACAGACGAAATTTCAAGGGTTCTAAGCCTCCTTCCAGAACAAGGAGGAGCTGTATCGTAAGTATCTAGAACTGAGTATGAGACAATTGCTTTATTTGCTTGGGTTATTTTACCAATGCCATATTTTACAGAAACAAGACAGGTTAGTGACAGGTAATCCCTGTCCAATCTGTCGAGATGAGTATCTAGTTCTCCATGAGAAAAATGTGGCGCTTTTGAAACAATTTATAAGCCCATTTACTGGTGAAATTTTAGGATATAGGTATGCATAAAACAAACCTGGATGGCGGCCAGTCTACAAAGTCTCCTCTCGTTTTACTCATTTTTTTCTATTTCCTCTCCATTAGCACCACAAACATTTGCCGTAAGCAATATGACAACCTGATGGTTGCCATCATTCGGGCTCGTGACCAGGGCCTGCTGACCTACCACGTGCCATTCCGTCACTACGATTACTCCCACTACATCCCAGAGGAGCTGAAGCAGAAGCAGGAGCAACAAAAGCAGTAAATCCATCAACACCATGACCGGCCCCAGCACCAGCAGCAGGCTCAGCGCTGACTTGGTCGTGGTCGGGGGAGGCATCGCGGGGGTGTCGTGCGCCGAGGCGCTGGCGGTGTTGTCTCCGGACGCCTCCGTGCTGCTCGTCTCCGCGTCGCCCCTCATCAAGGCGGCCACCAACGTGCAGCCGCTCACCAAGTACCTGGTGCGCTTTGACGTGGAGGAGCAAGACGCGGCGTGCCTGACGCAGCGTTGCCCCACCGTCCAGGTGATCCACGACGAGGTGGTGGCTCTGCACCCGGCCGGCCAGGGCGGCCAGGGCGGCCAGGACGGCGGCGAGCTCGTGACCTCCTCGGGGCGGCGCGTGTCGTTCGGACGCGTGTGCGTGTGCGCTGGCGCTCGCCCCAAGCCCACTCTGACGGACCACCCCCTGGTGCTGACGCTGCGCGACACCGAGTCCGTCCGCACGCTGCAGGCCCGGGTGGCAGGCGCGCGCCGCGTGCTGGTGGTGGGCAACGGAGGCATCGCCACCGAGCTGGTGCACGAGGTGCGCGGCGTGGAGGTGGTGTGGGTGGTGCGCCACGACCACATCTCGGCCGCGTTCGTGGACGCGGGCGCCGCAGAATTCCTTATGCCAGCCGCCACGCAGGACAGCATGTCCGCGACCAAGGACGCCGACGACGTCGCCAAGCCCGTGGTGAAACGCATGCGGTACACGGAGGCAAAGGCGGAGCCCTCGCAAGGCGCGGGAGCGGCGCTGGGCCCTGATTGGCACGCCCACTGGGAGCTCCACGGCCGCGACGAGTCCAAGGCGCGGCCTCTGCGCGTCGAGTACGGGTGCGAGGTGGCCCGCATGCTGCCCGGTGACGACCGCTGGCCTGCCTACGCCGAGCTCACCAACGGCGTCACCATCGGCGTGGACCTGGTGGTGTCCGCCACCGGCGTCGTTCCCAGCGTGCACGCGTTTGCGAACGGCAACCCGACGCTGCGGCTGCACGACGACGGCGGCATCCTGGTGGACGAGCACATGCGGTCCAGCGTGCCGCGCGTGTTCGCCGCGGGCGACGCGTGCACGGCGGGCTGGGCGCACGCCAAGCACTGGTTCCAGATGCGGCTGTGGACGCAGGCGCGCCAGATGGGCGCGTACGCGGCGCGCTGCATGGTCGCCGACAAGGACGGCGCCATCGCGGAGGTGCTGCAGGACTTCTGCTTCGAGATGTTCACGCACGTGACCCGCTTCTTCGGCCACAAGGTGGTGCTCCTCGGCCTGCACAACGGCCAGAAGCTGGACCGCGGCGAGTGGGAGATGATGCTGCGCGCCGTCAAGGGCAAGGAGTACGTCAAGCTGGTGCTGCAGCAAGGCCGCGTGCAGGGCGCGGTGCTCGTCGGCGACACGGACTTGGAGGAGACGTTCGAGAACCTAATCCTGGATCAGGTGGACGTGTCCCACCTCGGGGAGGACCTGCTCAATCCCCACGTCGACGTCGAGGACTACTTTGACTGAGGGCTGTTCGCTGGGGTAGTTTACTCAGGAAAACCACCATTTCCTAACGAGCATTTGTCTGATGAACTGTATTAGATTAGTGTGTTATTTGAATTGTTTGATTAAATAAATTGCGTTTATCTGAGGGAGTTTGTTTTATGCCACCAGCCACCTCGTGCATACCTCGTGCTATTGGATGCGAACACCCCAGGGGTGTAGGACGAATAAACTGAGCTCTAATCATTCCCTAGCACCAGCTCCAAGTCCCGTATCGGTCGCAACAGACAGGGAAGTCCCGCCCTGTGTTGCTTCGCCACCCTACGTCACGGCCACTCTATTCGCAGTACAAAACGAGGATGAATAACGCGTGCATGAATATTCGCACGTCATTGTTTTTCAATTTGATAAGAAACTGGGCGGTCTTATCGTACCTCACAAAAAGTGAACGCCCCATTCTACAATATTGTGTCATTTAATTTGAAAATTTCTGATAAGCGTTCATTAGTAAGCCATGATTGAAAAGTCGGTGAGTCTGCCACTACTTTATTAAGATGGAATGTGATTATTCTTCTATAACCTACATTTCTTTACTTGAAAACCTTAGTTCTAGGATACAGGTCCCTCTATTCTAGTTTAATTTTGTTGCGTTTTATTGAAATAAAAACTGTGTTTCTGTATTTTGTGAAACTTTTATTTTTAGCTGGATCTGGTGGGGGATGAAGGAGAACCACTGAGGCGCCAAGGATCACTACGGAAAGTTTTACCCCCCAACCCAAGTAGTGAAGGTCCTCTCAGCTTGTCAGCAAAGATGATTGACCGTCCTACAGTGGCAACCAGAAATGTCAACAGAGCTTATAGTTCATATCTACAAGAATACAGCATAATTTCAGAATAGTGAGTTTATGTTTACTGACTTCGATAGATAGAAAATGGCCTTATTGACATGATTTTCATCCTTTCGCCTACCTCAACCTCACACCTCTTATGAATGTATTGGCCTTTATTTGGTTTGGCTTTTACTTACAGTGGTATGGTCCGGGAACAAAGCATACCTGGGGTATATGTGATTCCATCTGCTCAGTCTTCTTTGTGTAAGTTTCATTCAATGTAATAATCCAATAATTAATTAAAAACCATTTCCAGCACTGATTTTCTTCTGTTTTCTCAATATGTTAGTATGGTTTGGTGTTCTTTTCGTACGGAAAGGTGTTTATCAGGGAGGAGTATTTCGATTTACTCTTTTAATACCAGAGAACTTCCCAGATACTAAAAGTCCTCCAGTAAGTAGCACATCAGTCATTTGTGGATTTGTGGCTTCACTTTAAGCTTAATCAGAATTTTTTTTAAAAATTGGCAACAATTTAAATTTATTTTCAATTTGCAGCGCATAACATTTCAATCAGCTATGTTCCATCCGCAAGTGGATTTAAAATCAGGGGAAATGAATGTCAAACGTGACTTCCCAGAATGGAGGAAAGGCCTTCATTTGTGGCAAGTCCTTGAATTCATGCGAACTGCATTTTATATTCTTGACACAAAAGAACCAGTCAATGAAGAGTGTTCTGAAATGTAAGCTAAATTTTTTTTCCATTCTAGTGTTGAAATTATTGCTAGCTTTGTTACTTTCTTCATTGACAACAATTCAATTTTCAGATATAAGAACAACCCAGAACTTTTTACAGAAAAGGTTAAACTTTGTGTAAAAAATAGCCAAGATCATCTTTATGATCCACCCCCTGTAGATGACCCTCATTATTTGAGATTTGATCCTTATGACAGAGAGAAACATGAGCCGGTCCGAGAATCCATTCTAAACCCAAAGGTATGTCAAAAGGTATTGGGTGGAGTTTAACTCCTCTCTATTCTTTTAGAAAGGTGCCTTCTCTGCTGGGTTGAATTTATTTGTAACTTGTATTTTTCTTCCAGGAAAGTAATAGACCTACACATTCCCTTGGACTATCCTGGGTTCAACCAGGATCCTTAGAACCTTTTTCAAAGACCACTTAGCTCTGTATAAATTTTAGCGATATTTTCACATTATTGATACATTGTTATTTTCATTGTTCTGTACAGTACTGATCTTAATTTAGCACCTGAAGAAAGTATTTTAACATTAATATTTTTACTATGTGTCTTGCAAGAGAATGTGATAGTTGTTGTTGATTGTTGGGTTTAAATTATTGATTTATGGCAGCAGCAGTTGGTCTATGTTTTAAGGTGAAATATGATTATCCTTGGACCATTGTATAGCTTGGTTAACACTTGCATTAGGAAATTTTTATGTGCTGGTTAACTTATTGTTTTTCTTATGTGAATATTTTATATGTCCTTCATAACTGTGATTATTGTGTTCTGCTGTGTTTACACACATCTTTTTCTCAGTAATGGAGATTGCACCACTGTTTATTCTTAGATGGGCTCTCCGGACAAACAGTAATAGTGCCTCTCTGTTGTTTTTACCTTTATTGACTATGAACACAAGAACGTGAATATTTGTTGGGTTTACTTTCATTAAAAGCTTGTACAAATAAATTGGCCTCATAATGATTGGATATCACAATTACAGCTTTATTTAATTTCCATTTCATAAAAAATGTATCACAAAATATTGATATTTTATTACTGCCACATTGCACTCATTGGTGGGCTATTGCGTTTGGCCAGTTATGATAGAATCCATCCAGTTTTTATCTAATGTATGGACCTGATCATTCCATCTGAAGTGGGTAGGACTTGGGTTGCCATCTTGTTCAAAAATGAAATTTTTGCTGAGTTCAATGGCTAATTTTGAACTGATCAGCCCAACTGAACCACCATTACTGGGAGCTGGGTGGTAAACTCGACCTGATTCTGCCATGAAAATTTTTGATGGGTCAAATCTGAAACTCAAAACATCACCAGCATGTCCATAACACACATGCTCTTCCAATTCAGAGGCTCCTCGAGGAACCTTCTTGGCTATATGAGTAAAGACAATGGGATAGTCATCGCCTCGAATATAATTCCGTTCTTTCCCGCAGTCTGACCAAAATGGAAAATATTTTTCGTATCTGCCAGTGTTATTCTTTTTCAGTCTTCGGAAGAAAAAGATAAGAAATTGCTTATCCTTAAAACATGATGTGAAGTTTTTAATTTTTGAATCATCTAGAAATAGCTGTAACAAAAATTAGAGGTTAGAGTACTAGGATATTAAAAACATAGAAAGAATAAAACTAGAACTTTGAACTCAAGTAAGTTGAACAAATTTTTAAAATCGTATAATTGCTTACCATTCCATGGTGATCTATGTAGTAGAAGTACTCGCGAACCCCTGTTTCGGGCTCCTGCCCTTGCACATAAGACACACTTTTAGAAAGAGGGCGACGTGGACATGAATGATTTGGAACAGGAAACTTAATCGCCAATAGAGTTCGAAGCACTCGACCAAGTGTCATGGTGAGACAATAGGCGATCCGACAGAAAAACACCCAAGTCTCGTACTTGTTGTTGTTCCGATCCTAGCCTTGGTTCCGTCGTCGGTAATCGTGCAAATACCACCGCGGCCGCGAGTCGTGTGGATAATGAGTGAACTTTCAAAAGCAAAGAGGCCAAATTTTCACAAATTATTTTATTCACACAAATAAAATTCATTTTTTCATGGTAACTATTACATAAAAGCGAACATTATGAAAGTCTCAAAGATCAATGTCGCAACAATAATAACGTGTTACCCTAAAGTCTTTTACTAAAACCATGCAAATGTACAAATTCAATACAAATCTAAAACTTACGCACAAAACAATAACCACAGTAACTACTTAAGCAAAAGCGAAAATGACCAGTAATTGAATTATGGCAGTGTTTTCAACACAACCGTTGACTAATGAGTAAATGCAAAAGAAACATCACAAACATGGTTTTTCTGAGAAAATCAAGAAACCAGACAAGAATACCAATGCTTCATACTTCACAGATACATCCCATATTTTCATATATCAACTATCAGAGATTTAATGTCCATCATAGGAGACCAATCTAGGAATTGTTGGAACTATTCCTTCACTGCTTCTACCTATATTTTAGGGAACAAAACAACCTGTAATACTGCTACATATCTTAGTACCTGACAATGTTGCATTCATCTAGCTTGCTACCTGAGATTCATTGATATTATGACTTTGTGCCAACTCCCAAGATGGTGTATGAACATACTATTAAATATCAGCCAGGCCTTTGTCTTACAGAAGTGAACATACACTTTGATTCCAAGGGGAAAAAAGAATATTCAAAAGGTGCATCTGAAGATGAAATTTTTTCACCAGACATGCTTTTATAATATTTAGAAGACACCATGAGAGAAAGGGCCCCTCTCCTCACAAAAACACACAAAATTTATTTGTTGCCAGCAATAATATCACAAGTTTTATGTAAAAAATGTAACTGGCAGTGTTTTTTGGTGTTGTTATTCTCAGTAAAAATTTACAAAAATGGTTAGAAATTGGACAGCTAAGAGGAATGTCATGTGCCAGAGTCAAAGGGACACAAAATTTTTATGAAGTAAAAAAGTTGGCATACTCATGTCCTTCTAATCATGCCAGGAAGGGGATGAGAAACCTATCTTCGATGGACAAACAGTAAAGAAGATTTCAATCAGTCTTGTGGTGTCCAGTTCCTTTCTTGGCCTCCAGCTTCTTCTTTAAGGGGTTCGCTTTACATTGTTGGTACAGATTGTTAAGATCAAAGGCAAGCTTGATGTTGTCCTGAAATAATAAATAAAAATATGGTTAAAGTTGATATTATTTATAATAAACTTTTAACGTTTAACTCCATACAAACCTCAGTGAAAAAGAAGCGAACAAGTTTATTGCTGTTGTCAAAGGTAGGGCGCCGAAGAGACTCCTTTCCTTCAGTAAAAAGAATGACAGTAGGAAGCTGTTGTGAGGTGGCACCGTCATGAATCCTATATTTTGAGGCAGCATCTGGATAGCGCCCAATGTCAATTTTGCCAAACTTCAAATTGTCCAAATGATACCTGAACATATGAATATCAATCAATAAACATAAATATGAATACACTCCTAAATTAAACAAAGAAAACAGAAAGGTACTCACTCGTGGGAAATTTGAGCAAACACAGGAGCAAAGTTGACACATGCTGGGTTCCATGCAGTATAGAAGGCAATAATCCATGTCACGCGTTTGTCACTCTCCAGTTCTTCCTCAAGTCCAGCCACAGTGCGGAAATAAGTAATGCTCTCTGGACCGGAGTAAGTCGGTTCGGGCAGAATCAATGAGCATACTGGAAATGGAGAAATAAATTTCAAAAGTGGAAACAAATTTTGAGTACAGACTTAGTTCTGTGCCTTCTGAGAAGCAGTACTTACAAACAAACACAACCGAGTAACCAATACCCAGGCGAATATCAGCATAGAACCACAAAATGACATTAGCCACCTTGGCGTAGATGAAGCTAGCCGACAAATAATTTATCATCGTAACACTGCCAGCTTTTCTTGTCCTCAGCATCACAACAATCATCAGAAAGAAGAGGATTTCTGACTCCCTCTGAAAGTAAGAACAGAAAATGACGTAAAATGTTAAGAAAATTAAATATGCAGTAAAATTTCAAGTCAAACTTACGGAATCTAGTTCACATTCAGCTGCAGGAAATACGAGGGTGCAAAAGAAAGGGAGCTTTTTCGCAGTAACATATGAGAGACTCAACAGAATATTGACCCAATAGTAAGGTCGTAGAAGAAGGTGTAGGTCCTTTTTGAAAGACATTGTGACAAAATTTAACTTAACAATTAACCACAACTTCTGTTGTTCCCTCAACGGTCTGGACTGCCGTCTGCTAAAAGTCAGTGCCTTCTCAAAAGTCCAACATGGGTCAGACAAGCTACTAAGAAAACCAGAAAAAAGAGGCCTTAGGAGACAAAATTTTGGAAGGAGCCATTCGTGTCAAACCAATTTTTGTCAATTTTTATCTGAGTCGAGTTCAAATTTCAGTTTCATAGATCGTTTCACAAACTTCGTTCATCTCCGCTAGGTTTGTGCCCCTGTTTGAAAGCGCGCATGTTCAAAGTTCGTAAGTGTGCTTTCATTTGTTCTGCAGTAAAATAAGTGTCATGATGTGTACTGGCCAGTCCATTGTTGTAACAGCTGAGCCATTATTTGTCAAACTTGAGATTTCCTTCTCGATCCTAACTGGGGAACTTCAAATTTCTTGGTGGTGTATAAACTTGCCGCAGCTGTCAGTAGAGGGCGAGACGGTCGCCGCCCCGCCGATCCCCCCTCTCTCTCTTTTCGCTCGGCCCGACACCCGACGAGAGCCGATGACCCGACGCGACAAGGATAGCTACATTCCCTTCGGATCAAGTTAGAGAGAGAACGCCGCGTTCGGGTCGCTTCGGGTATCTTCGACGCCCCTTCTGGAAGATTCGGGATCATTCTCCTCAGTACGTGGGCCGAGTATATAAGCGAACGCGAGCGCCTGTCCGCGTAACTGTTCGATCATTCGCTTGGTGCGTCGCACGCGTGCGAAGGTTCCGCATTTAAATACGTGTGGTGAAGTGATTTGTGTGAATTTGTTGGTGCACTGTGGATTACCTATTTTCTCATCGCAGTTAGAGCGCTACTTGTAAGTATTTTCGCCGCTGACGTTTTCGAGAAAGTAGTGCCAAGCAGCGCGTGCTCTTGGAATATCTTGCGTGACCAAATTTGGCAAGGAATCTGGCCCTGAATCATCGCGCAGAACTAGACCCCTTTGGCCAGCTTGGCTGGGTTTGTCATTACACACAACTGTGTGCCTCTTCGTACCCTCCTCTCCGTGATCAGAACGCGATGACTGAACTTATCCCAAAATCATTCCATTTTCTGGGAAACTCTTGTTGACAGTATAGTTTTCAGGGTTCTCTTCCTTGAAAGGACACAACTCGATTTTTAAGCACTTATCAGCCTTTAAAGAATCAGTACAGTCTAGGATCAGCTTATTTCTCCGCTTTTGTTAGGCAGTCAGGCTTCAGTGACCCTCCTTCCTTTGGTCATTCTGTCTCGGTGCTGTAGGTTGCCCTTCTTCTCTGGTTTCATTCATTGTACTACCCCTCTAGTACAGTTCTCTATGACAGTTAAAACTTACCACCCATCAAACTGAGCTGATGGCTCAAGATTGTGATGAATGTATCGCACTCACTGTTGTTTTTCCGTCTGGTGGTTGTTCTAGATCCTAACTCTTTTCCATAAATCCTGTACTAATGCTTCTTAAAGTTCCAAATACAATTGATAAGAATTTGTTTTTGGAAAATGCAATCGCCTTTAGTTTCTGTCAATTCTGACAGTGACATGTCATTGCTTGATTGATGACCATGCAACATGACATGTGATTTGACTGTCATTGGACATAACAAACTTATTTTGGTTCCATCTCTGCCCCTGCACAATTGACTCTTCTCCTGCCTCCTCTTATTATTATGACTGTTGCCTAGCAATGAATTGACTTGGCCATGGGTAGGTTCAACTCTCAAAATTTTCAGTTCCAAAAAATATTTTTAGTTTATTGCAGAATTTCTTGTCATTGCTGATTACCTGAATTCTTGGCATATTTGAAATCTGAATTAATGTGCCTTTTCAAATTTTTGAGATGAATAATCCTTTCCATTCTTCTTACTATAACTTTAACAATTTTAACAATTTCAATAATTATTACAACAATTATCACAACTACTATCAGTATGGTCCAGCAATTAACTGCTATGGTATGGCAGAATCTCAGTCTTCAAAAGAGGATTGAGAATATTCTACACTTGTTCCTAACCAAGTGTTGTCTTCTGTTGCAGTCCGTGGAGCCATGGGGAAAGACTACTACAAGATCCTCGGAGTGGCAAAGGGTGCCTCCGATGATGACATCAAGAAGGCCTACCGCAAACTAGCCCTCAAGTACCACCCCGATAAGAACAAGTCTGCAAGTGCTGAAGAACGCTTCAAGGAAGTGGCTGAAGCTTATGAAGTTCTCAGTGACAAGAAGAAGCGTGATGTTTACGATCAGTATGGCGAAGAAGGCTTGAAGGGAGGAGCTGGTGGAATGGGAGGCGGCAACCCTGGCGCCCAAGGAGGCTTCACATATTCATACCATGGTGATCCTCGTGCTACTTTTGCCCAGTTCTTTGGCAATAGCAGTCCATTCCAAACATTCTTTGATCTTGGAGGTGGTGGAGGAAACCGCATGTTCTCTTTCCATGATGAGGACATGGACATGGATGATCCTTTCTCTACTATTGGCATTGGTGGTAACCGTGCTGGAGGTACATTCAGATCTCACTCATTCAACAATCATGGATACCAAGCAAGAAATGCCAAAGACAGAATGCAAGATCCTCCCATTGAACATGACCTGTATGTGACACTTGAAGACATACTGAAAGGCTGCACAAAGAAAATGAAAATCTCAAGAAGAGTACTGCAGCAAGATGGATCTTCAAGAAAAGAAGACAAAGTTTTAACCATCAACGTGAAGCCCGGCTGGAAGGCAGGCACCAAGATCACGTTCCAGAAGGAGGGAGATCAAGCAAGAAACAAAATTCCTGCTGACATTGTCTTCATCATCCGTGACAAACCTCATGTCAACTTCAAGCGAGAAGGCTCAGACATCAGATACACTGCCAAAATTACTCTGAAAGAGGTAAGTTATTCAGCATAAGCAAGGAAATGTTCACTTTTAATCTTAACTTTCTATTTGACTAATGACAATTTTTTTTTTGCCTTACAGGCTCTTTGTGGCATCAGGATAGAAGTTCCAACCTTAACTGGTGAGAAGATCCCTGTAAATCTCTCTCATGAAATCATCAAGCCATCAACTGTGAAGAGGATTCAAGGTTGTGGGTTACCATTCCCTAAGGAACCCAGTCGTAAAGGAGACCTCCTTGTTTCATTTGATATTCAATTCCCCGACAATCTGTCTCAGAGTGCCAAAGACATTTTATTTGATGCTCTACCTTGAGCTGGAACTTGCTACCTGGAAGTGTCATGTTGTCCCCTGCACTGCTGTAACTAAATACTTCGAACAATACAAGGCCAAGTGATGTGAGGCATAACTGACTTTCATATTATTTTTCAATGATTTCTTTTTAAATTTATTTACATCAATTTTGTAATTCAACTGAATTTTTTCTTAAATTTGCCCCATTTTAGCTGTATGCAGTGTTGTTGAGTAACTTGGTTGGTTCTATGTGGAAGTTTTGCAGCATAGTGCTTTATAATTCTTTTTTCTTTTTTCATTTTTCTAATTTTGTGGGGTGCACAACCAGACTGTCGACACTTGGATTCTAGTGGACATGATTCTAATGGCTGTGATAGTTTAAATATGTTGAGTAAGCTTGGGGTAGTATTTATGTTAATTTTTTAGACTAAAAGCTAAAATGGAAGTCATTTTGCTGTGTTAGCTCAATAGTGACACAATCCAGTTGGTTTATTGTCACTTATTAAACCTTGCAAGTCAAGTTTGGACAGCTGCTTGCCCTTCCCTTGAGTTCCTCAAATCAAGTCTGTTGCTTCTTGGTGTGGTATCTCAATCCTTGGTCTTGTTTTAAATCCAGTTGGGTTATTGTATACATTTGCCATCAGGCAGATCCAATTTGCACAGGTTTAAGTTGACATGCAGTTTAACTATTGGATTTTGCTGGTGTTGTATATTGCATGGACTAAATGTGTCTGGACTGGGATAGGCTGTAGGGCAAGCTGAAGGAAGGAATGTTAAGAAGACTGACATCACAATCTACCTCAGCTTCTCATTGAAGATGTGTATGGGGCTCATAGTTGTAGGATTGATAGATCACCTTGGTCGAATGCCAGTTTATTTGAGTAAACTGCTTGCTAGCCAGATCTTGGAGCTTTCAGTGGGATGTCCATAGGATTGTAACCATCTGTAATGAGACTTATTCCTGATGGGTATCTTTTTTTTGTCAAGCGTGCTAGAGGGAGGGGTTGGTGTGTCGGCTTGAACTAAGAAGGTTTTATTTAAACCACAACTAAAATGTCAAAGGACTGCGCGTTTTAGTGCAGATCCGTCCAGAATGTTGTGACATCATTGATTGATCATTGTACATATTTCTTAAATCATTTGTATAATAAAATAATCACTTTAAGTTACTCGAGAAGCTTTCTTTCGCTCCCAGACCTCTTGTATTTCATAATGATCGTGAGCGCCTTCGCCTTGCAGTTGGCAGGGCCGTCCTGCGTTCTCAGAGACACGTCGCGGAGGAGTGCGGCGGGGCGGGGCCGGGCGGGCAGTTGTACTGGAGAACCCTGGAGAACCCCTGGAGAGGCATGCCATGTACGGCTTGCCGGCTTGTCGCAGAGAAGGGGAAGGGAGCGCGGTGCACGCTGAGGCTGCTGAGGCCGATGCGCGTGCAGTGCAGTGGAGCGGCTGCGCCAGGCATGCACCGGACATGCACTCGAGTAAACGGAGTCGAGTCCTCAGAGGGAAGACCAGAGTGTGACCTGGGAATTCCCTGGACAGGCCGTCGCTTTGGCCTGGTCGGCCCGAGGCGGTAACGGAGTCACGGACACGGGAACGCGCTCCAGCAGTTCCATCGGCCAGGCCGGCCTAGAGGACCGGGCTCGCCGTGTCTCGCCGGCCTCTTCCAGTGGCCAACCAGTGAGCGCTTGCCGCGGTGCCGATGAGTCAGCCGGCTTCCCCTTTCCCCCGACAGACATGTGGGACGGGAGGCGGGGGCGGCCCTCGCGCCAATCTGCAGACTGATTCCGAGAGTCGTTTTCGTCGTTCTGTCCCTCTCGCACCTATGCGGGACGCCCCATGAGTGCGAGAGAGACAGAGCGGCGAAAGCGACTCTCGGAATCAGTCTGCTGCTCGACGACAATCCAGGAGGCGCGCGGAGTCCGGCAGACCGCGATTTCAAAGAGCGGCGCTCCGTCGCTCTGTCTCTTTCTCTCACTGGCCAGGCGACGCCCCCTTGCCCTTGCCCTTCGTCGGGGCTGGCACACTGGTGCCGCCCCGAGGGTAGGCAACACCGCATGAAGATAGGCTGAAGGTGTGACGAACAACATTTGTGACGACACAGGCCGCCAGGCGAGGGGCGCCAACGGCCTCGCGGCGCGGCGACCCCGCGGCCAGTTCGGCCAGTTACCTGCCCGCCCCGCGCGCCGCGCCGTGTCACTCTACACTCTGTTTTTCGCGCCACAAAAAAAAACAGGGAAGTCGGACCGACCAGTATGGTGCCGTGGACACCCTCGGCACCCCGACCAATGCAAAAACAATTGAATGGCAACAATAAAGTTGATTGATTCCGAGGGTCGTTTTCATCGCTGTCTCTCTCGCACCTATTCGGGATGCCACATGAGTGAGAGAGAGAGAGAGAGAGGGGGGAGAGAGAGAGAGAGACAGGAGGGACAGTGCGTCGTAACCCTCTGTCGCACCCCTGGCGGAACGCCCCTGGAGCGTGAGAGAGACGACGGAGCGACGAACGCACGGCAATACAGTGCAGGCCCGGCTGAAGCGCGAGGCGGCGAAGCGGCGCGAAACAGGTGACAGTTTCTGGCCGCGCCCGAGTGCCCGAGGCGGGGCGGGCGGGGCGGGGCGGCCGCGCCAGGGATAGCACCGCCACGGCACCGCCAGTGCAAAGAAAGTGTTGTAGTGTGTCAAGGCCGGCGGAGATCCATTTCTGCGTTCTGCGCCCCACCGAGGCCCCCGCCCCCGGGCGCGGCGGAGGCGGACCCGCAGGGCGAGCTGCAGCAGGGCGCGTGTGGAGGCCGCCCGATGCAGGACAACAACCCTGTCGTCCATTCCGAGCAAGTCGTTGCCTCTCTCTCCCACCTCTTCGGGATGCCCTACGAGAGCGAGGGGGACAGGACGTCGAAAACGCTGTTCGGCCTGCTGCAGACGAGGGCGAGAGTGGGGCCTTCACTGCGGTGTTGGTGGTGGCCACCCTAGCGCAGGAGCTACACAGCAGGCGGAAAGTGCAAGGGGCAACCCTAGGCGCCTGGCCGTGACACTGACCGACACCTGGCCGGGAATGCAGTTCGCAGTGCACGCGACTTTCGTTCTCGAAGCGCCGCGGCGCGCCGGCCGGCCGGCCGATCTTGATCTTGCTCGATCTTGCTTCATTGCTGGTATGGCGCTTGAACGCTCGCCAGCCCCCCCCCCACTCTTGTCAATCACGTCGATGCAGAAGCACTGCGGGGTGGGGAGGGGCTGTTGTGTTGGCTCGTGCCTGGGGCCTTTATCCTCTTTGGGCCATAATCACAGAGCGAACAGTACTGCCGGCACCAGGTACGATGACACCGTCAAAAGACAGAAACTCCCGCCTCCCCTCCACGCAAAAAACGCGACGCCCACGCCGGTATTCGAACCCCCGCCCCTCCGGGCCGTCCATGCGTCCATGCCGGCGAGGAAGGCACCGTCCGCAGACGAGACGCAGACAGGCCGGCTGCGGTCGAGGTGCAGATTGCAGCCCTAAAATGGAAGTGCGACCATCACATCACCATCAGCCGGCGGCGACCGCGCGACCGCCATCGGGCCGAGCCGTGCCGTGCCGTGCCGAGCAGGCCGAGCCGAGCCGCGGCGCGCTGACCGCGTCACTGTCAGTCAGCGGACTCACTCCGAGAGTCGTTTTCGTCGCTCTGTCTCTCTCGCGCCTCCAGGCCACTCCAGGCAAGGCCCCTTGAGTGCGACAGAGACAGGGTGACGAAAACGACTCTCAGTGTGCAGCCCGCGCAGAGGTCGCCCCCTCCCCTCATGTCCCCTCCCGTCCTACCCCTAACTCGTTAGCCCCCCCCCCTTTCCGCAGCGCAGCGACACTCGAAGGAAGAAAATGGAGCACCAGTGTTTGAACAGCGGTCGCCCAGCGGCACGGCGGCGTGGCCGGGCGTGGCGGAGGAAGTGCCATTCACCGAGTGCCCTACAGAGTGCTTCCGAAAAGGCGATCCGTCGCTCTGACTCTGTCGCACTCGAAGGGCGTCCCGCAGGGGGTGCGAGAGAGACAGCGGCGAGTCGACATTTTGGAACTTTGCCTGTGGAGGGTCAGGGATGTGCATTATGGCGAGGACGAGCGAGCCTCCGGCGTCCCTTCCCCACCGAGTCCTTCCGCCCAAAAAGCGGCTGGTTTGGAGGGGCCGGGATTCGATCCGTGGACCTCGCTGCTTTGGCGGGAACGAGAGGAAGGCCGTCATCGAGTCGAGGGCGCGCGGCGCGGGCCGGGTGGCCGGGCTGCAATGAGCCATGGCCGTGACCGCGCATCACCACCGCGGCAAGCGCGGCGCGGGGGGCCTATACGGACGGGCCTACACTGGCCTACACACAGCACACTGCAGAAAGCACGGGCAACATCTTTTCGGCCGCGACTCTGAATGCATGTTGATGACACCGCCTTGTCGTTCGCTATGCAGTGTGCTGGCTTGCCCGAATGCCTGGGTCGCGCTTTGGCCTCGCGGGCAGATTAGGGACTGACTCTCGGTTTCAAAATCAGGCCAGTCGCCGCCACTCTGTGAAGGAACGGTGATGTTTTTATTCAGAAAAAGGATTGTTAACGGATGACAATCTTTCTCGCTCGCTTCTTAGTGGTTGTGTGAATGAAACTCTTGATATGAAAGTAGAAAGTAGTGTAGTTACGGCGTGGGCAGCAAAAAGTTAATGATAAGAGTTTCATTTTGCAGTAAAGAAGGGATGGGTTCGCAAAAAAAAAAACATCGTTTACAAATGCGATGTCTTCTTGGAATACTCGCGAATGGTTGAATCGGCCTTACCGCGCCGCGTATCACCGAGTCGGCCCGCGGCCCGCGCCACTGTATCAGTCACGTGTCAACGGCGTCACGTGGCGGCGGCGGTCGCGTGTCGCTCTGTCTCTCTCGCACCCTGCGGCCCGGTTGGGCCGGCCTCCGAGTGCGAGAGAGACAGAGCGACGACAACACTGTACGGAACCGGCCTGCTCCTCCACATCCGCGCGCGCCGAATAGTGGTTTCCCTTCCAGTCGATTCTTTCTCCGCGACCACGACCACGGTCATGGTGCACGCAGCCAGAGCGGCGGCTGTCCGGCGGGCCGCCCTGCCAGAAGGTTCGGCCAGTGTGTGGAAACCAGCCACGGCGCCGCGGCCGCGGCGTGCAGTTCGACGAGTGCACCAGGACCGCCACGGCGGCGCGACCGTCACCCTGCCCGCCAGCAGGCTCATTCCGAGAGTCGTTAATCGCTCTGTCTCTCTCGCACTCATGGAGCGTTCTGTTAAGGCGCGAGAGAGACAGCGACGAAAACGACCCTCGGAATCGGTCAACACGACAGGCCACCCAGGCCTCCTCCACCTAGGCTCTGCCGACGCACCTGCTGAGGCGGCAAGGGCAGACTGATTCCGCGAGTCATTTTCGTCGCAGCGTCTCTCTCGCACTCACGGGGCGTTCCCTATGGGTGCGAGCGAGACTCTCTGAATATCAGTCCACAGCTGTCGCAGGCACCGCGGCACGGCACGGCACGGCGCATGCAGGCGCAGTGCGCGGTGCGCGTCGCGTCGAGAAGCCTCGAGAAAGGGAAACGGCGGCAAACGGAGCGGCCACGCCGCGCGGCCCGTTAAAAGGCAAGGCGCCTTCTGCCTTCTGGCGGCCGCGCCGAACAGCCGAACACACAGCCACCGCCGGCGGCGGGCCGGGCCGGGCAGGGCCGGGCGAACCGGCAAGACGAGGCGAGGAGGGGGGAGGGAAGCCCAGAGGGGATCTCGCGAAGCACCGCGAAGCACCGCGAAACATCGCTGATTGGGTGATTAGGTCGCGGCGATACCGTGGCGGCGAAGCAGCAGCCGCCGCGCCGCCGCCGTCCTCGCGAGGAGTCGGCCGACCCGCGGCACCGGCCAGTGCGGCGGCATGGCCTACCCTGACCTCCGCAG